CATAATAGCAGTCAGTTACACCAAGGGCTGCTTTGCAGCATTTTTCTGCTTTTATTTCTCCCAGGCAGTACAGCCTCAGTTTACTGGGCTCATGTCTTAAACCCGCCTGTGGGACTCAGAGATCCCTCTGTCTACCAATGACTCAACATGGACTGGAGGAGTATTGTTGCCTCCATGTTCCTGGCACAGAAATGGAGCAGACTGGCTTAATATCACAATCAGTTTATCATTCCCCTAATCCTCCTGTGTGGGTTACCAACATACATAATACAACATGGTGCATTCCCAAGACCACCCAAAGATATCTATATTATCAACCGGTCATGCTTGGTCTTGTCACTTTCTGTCTCTTTCACTTTCTGGGATGGATCTGTCAACTGATGACCTCCCAACGCCATTATGAAAAGACACTGGCTGAAGCTTACATCTTTCTCTAATTTTAAATAAACAAAAAGGGGGGCATGAAGGGGTTGGGCCTAGAAGAAAGGATGGACAGACGGATGGATGGATGGATGGATGGAAAGAACGTGAGCAGGTGAATGGTCAGGCAAAAACGCTTGCCTGAAGCTGCTTGTTTGCTGAGTGCAAAGGTCAGCTGAAAACAGCTGACCTGTATGGAAATTGTTAAAGAAATTAGCAAATGGCCCTGACCCTTTGTACGTGTCCTTGGACATAAGCACAGGGAGGAACTTAGCTGAGGAGGCCATTTTCTCCTTTAGGTTTTGGTCTCTTCTCTTCTCATAGTGTTTTGAGTAACTGTTCATTCCTTTGCTACCGAGCTCAGAACAAAAAAGCAGCTGCAACAGTCAGAGACAGCCCTAATGCAAGGAGTGGATGTTTTATCTGGGAACTAAATGCCAAAGATGCAGCCTGTAAAGTCCTAGGGAGAGAAGTTCCAGGCAGATCACACGAGCAAGTGCGAAGATGGTGAAGTGGAGATGCCAATGGCCTTGCCCACGAAGATGATTACTTAGAAATTCTAGTTCTTGTTTATAATTGACTCACTAATAGCAAAAGAGTGATGATCTTGAAGGTCTTTTCAGTTGGTGACCTTCAACATACCCAGAACTTATATAAATAATCCCTGACAAAGATAAACATCAACCTCCTACATCTATGTACTCCTAAGATGTTTATTTTCTGAAATTTTCTAAAAAATGCTGCCACCAATGCAGCCATCCAAGAAAGGAGGTAAGCATTGATAAGGTATAATCCAAGGAGGACTAAAAGGGAAAATAATCATTTCATATCCAGAGTAGAAGGAATCTTAAAAGTTCATCTAGTCTAACCCTTCCTCCTCACTCCCATTTCACAGGTAAAAAAAAAAAAAAACAAGGATCAGGGTGTTCGAGTCACAAACTGAATCAATGGCAGAGCTGGGACCAGACAGAACCCAAGCCTCTTGACTTCCAGGTTTAATGTTATTGCTAGTTTTTTTTTTTCTTTTTTACTTTTTTTTTTTTTTGAAGAACAAGCACTTAACCAACATTGGCTTTTTTTTTTTTTTTTTTTGAAGAACAAGCACTTAACCAACATTGGCCTACTCAACCAGACTAACAGGCATTTATTACTCCCATCCATTTCCATTTCAATAGAATCACAGACAATCGCAGGACACATGACTCCATCTATGGACAACCTTGGAGTTTATTAAGTACACTTTGTCTTTCTCCCACAAGCACAGAAACAGCACCTGCTATCAAGGGCTTTAGAGAGTGAAGTTTTACTGTGTACTCAATTTCAGATTTGGAAAAGTCAAGCCTAAAATAAATAATCATTCTGCCATCAAGCTGGAGATTTTCACGTGGAAGTAAGTATTTCTTACCCTGGGGGGAAGATTCTCTGCATCCTTTTCATCAGATTGTTGTAGCCACTTGTAGCCATTCCTTTTCCTTGAAGGAGTTGCAAAGCCATTTCCAACTTTTCCATACGGAATACGAAGAAAATATTTTGCCTTGAGAAACTTCTGGCATTTTCCTATTCCTGGTTGTGATCCATGCAGCTTGAGAAAAGCCAGTGTCATAGATACTATTTTGGTACATCTAATCCCAAGCTGAAAAAAGTACAATTACTCCAAGTTGGGGAGAGAGATTGAACCACAGGTTGTGTTTGAATTGGGTTCCGTTTAGCTTTGTGGAGGAAAGGCAGTCCTGCTTCCTGCTTTGTAGGTTATTTCACAAATGCTCTCCTTCAAAGTCCTGTGAGGATCCTTTCTGTGATTAAAGTCACCAAGGCGTTTTATGATTGAAAACTCCCCTTGGTTTAGGATTTATTTATATACTCCTCTGCCATGCTCTCGCTAACGCTGTGGCTCCGGTGGGAATTGTAGAAGGAAATTTACTCGTAAGTCACAAAACCAAGCTAATATGACAGGCAGAGAAGAGCCATCTGGCAAATTGTTTGTAAAACACTTACCTTTTATTTGTTAAATCCCATTTCCCTGTAAGTCACGTAACAGGAGACCTAGCGCACACCGTTAAGCCAATTCTGAAAGTTCCCCAAAGCTTTCTTGGTGGGTATCAAACCACATTCTCATCCTCAGGAAAATATTTAAAGCCATCCAGGTATAAAATGCGGACTTAAGAATGAAGACAGATTCCTCAGTGTTAGGGGACTTCATTATGGCATTATGAAACAGTCACAGAGGCTTCTAGAACTTCCAGTGACTGATGAAACAAAACCAGCCTCTGGTAGGTTAAGTGCTAGACTCTGCTTCTCTTGGAGCTCATAAGAGGCTCGGGATAAGAGGACAGAGACCACACAGTCAACACCCCCCAGCCTTATGGGGCAGAACCAGCGTTCTAAGACAGTCACATCATGCCACCTGGGAGAAGAGGAAGGAAAATTAAAAGCCTCAGGCTCCTATTCCAGCCGACAATGGGTAGGGAGCAGAAACCATCAGAAAAATCTAATCAAGCCCAGAAAAGCCTTTAACTAATAAAGTACCAGACCTACTTCATGTCAAAGCAAAAATGGTTTATATCTTTCTAGCTATCCTATTCGGGCCCTGGAACTCTGAAATGCTTAAAGACTTTAAGTGGGTCTTGTATTAGCATCTGATCATTAATAAATGCAATTTCTATTTCTTACTTTGGTTTTAATTCATGGCTTAATTAGGAAAGGCCACATTGACTCTTTGGATTTAGAATGTCAAAGTAGAGTTCCAGCCCACATCCTGCGCCCCAGCCCTCTGTCACCCCTATGTCACTGCCCCTTGCCTCCCCCTTGCCTCATTCCAGCATCACACCAGAAACACAGGTGTGGCCCCAACTCAGCCCCAGCTTCTCAACTGCTCAGCTGCTAACAGTGTGAGCTGGTGGTGTTGACAGCTGTGGTTGTCCAGCGCTCCTAAGGAGAGATGCCAGAGTAGACACCTGCAAAGCAGATAAAATTTGTCTTAGCAATGTCCGGTGAAGAATTTACAAAACAGGAGCCTCTGGCCCAGGGTGAATGAAGTGTTCCAGCAGGGTCTCCAGTTCCCATCTCCACCTCCCCCCACCACACCCCCACATGTGGGAAGCCCCCCTACCTCTCGCTGACATTTCCTGAATTCTCTCCACCCAAGGGTAAGCAGTGATCCGTATGAATCCTTTAGTGCCGGGAAACGACAGGAAAGCGTTGCTGGTTATACCCTCAAGAGCCTGTTGTCCAAGAGTCTCAGGAGGAAAAGGTCTGGCTTAAAGCCTCAGGGATCCTAAATTTTTCTACTTCAATTTCTCCATCTCGTAAATAGAGATGGTTGCAGCTAACCCAACCGTCACTCTCTTTAGATTGGCCTCCCTTCGGAGAGGAAGAACTTATTTTTAAAGAAAGATATCTGTAAATATAAATTAGAGGAATTGGAAAGTTTTAGAGTTAAACAGTTTTGTTTCAAAGTGACCAATTTCTAGACATTCTTATACTGACCTTCCAAGACAGCTTGGTGCCTAACATGTATCGTGAGAAGCTATTTTTGCAGCAGCTAACTGCATTTGCATAGTCCGTTTTCTAATTGTCTATGTTGATAAGGATTAGGGCTGGTCTGATGACCTGAAACCCTATTTTAAGCAGTACTCTAACTTATTTTCAAAGCAAATAAATGTTATCCCATTTGATCTCCTCCTCAATAATCTGGCGCAGGGAAGATAATGAGCTGGAACCTAGGTGTGCTCCACCTTCCAGGGGCCCTGGGGACCTGGGTTTTCTGTTTATTCAATGTTCACAGTTTTACTCACCTCCCCTGGGGATTCTTGAAACCATGTTCTCACCCTCAAGGCCAAACTCTTCTTCCATCCATTCACTGGGGCTGCTGTAGGACTTGCTAATTGGATAGGTTAGGGGCCGAATTATAGGGGTGTAGAAATCATCTTCTTATGTTGAGTCAGTTCCTGGGTTGGGGTCACAATTCCTGTTGAGTCAGTTCTTTGGTGTGGGCTGCTGGTCTGGGTGGGTCGGCCAGTCCACTGGAATTTGGGGCCTGAATGATATCTCAGAAACTACCTTTAGGTTTCAAAAAGGTGATGTTACCTATGGAGAAAGTTGAGTTTTTATGACCACCAGCCATGGAGTTTTTATGACTCCAGAGTAGCAATTATAGAAAAGCAAACAGAGGGGCAGTGGCTGATTATCACCAAGCAAATAATGGGACAGTGGCGGATTATCATCATTATTTTTAGCTATGCCTATGTCTTCACAGGGTTTTAGGCCCTTAACCACAGTCCTCACCTTGCACCCCTTTGTTGATTTGTAAAGTGTGGCTTCAATTTTCATGTTTTGTTTTTAAAAAATAATAGGCACAGGTATGTGATTTAATGTTTTGTAAAAAATGTATTATATGTTATATTAAAAAGACTTGGAGAGCACACACTGAAATGTTAATAGTAATTATGGGTGGGTGGTGGGATTCTTCTTTATGCACAGAATGTATTGTCTGAACTTTCTATAATGAACATATATCAGCCGTATAATCATACACACCCATTCTAAATTAATTTCCATTCCATTAATTTCCATAGGAAAGCAGCCTGCACTTCCTTCTGGAGCACACACACTGTTCACACCAGTTCCTGGGAGCATCTGTGCCTGTCCCTCCAATCTGTCACGTGGCTGCCTCCTGACACCTAGAAGGTAATACGTTCTGAGGACTCCACGTCTGTCCCCACTTGGCTCATGGAACAGACTTGAAGATTTGTCATTTTGGCCACTCCCCAGAGAAAAATAAAAACAGCAGTTGAGTCAGAGAAAGTACATGGATGGAGAAATAAATTAAATCCCCTAACCTCAAATACACGGATCTGAATTTGGATGCTATATCATTTTTCACTGGGAGTCGAGTATAGAATGATAAGAAGAGAATCTGATTTCAGGTGTATGAAGACCAGATAAAGCAAGGCTTTATTGGAGGTAAAACAGACAGAAAAGGAGAAAACTGAGTCTTGTGACATTTTATGAGGATCTTATCTTCCCATTCTTTCCCTCCGCCCCTTACCTCCAAGCTCTTTAGATTCTGGCTTGCCCTTTGTGGTGGCGTGTTCGAGTTTCTGTTCGTTCCCCAGCAAAGACCTGGACAGGCAGATAAAACCATTCCAAGGGGGTGAATGAAGTCTTGGGGGTAACGAAGACACAGAGAAGAGAGGAAAACAAACCAAAACAAAGCTGGAGGCAGACCTGAGTGTCCCGAGTTGAATTGGGGGGTTGTTTTGTTCTTTTTTAGCTGAAGAATGAAGAAGACACAGAGGTACAGCCCAAATTCTGAAGTCCTGGTAAAAATCATTTACTATCCCCTCTAAAATCATCCACGCTTCTCCATCTTTCTTGCTCCTATGAAGAAGGATGTATGAGCATCTGCAGCCCGGTGGGTTGTGGGATAATGACCACCCTCCTCTTGACTTTCCCCCCATTCACATTAAAATACATTTTGTATGCCTTTTCTGCTATTAATCTACCTTTTTTCAGTTGGTTTTCAGTGAGACTTGAGAGGGTGAAGGGGAAGTTTTCCCCTGGTCCCTACGGCTTTGGCGCTGTAAGCTGAACAACCGAATCCACTCTGCTCTTCTGGAAGCAGCAGCCCAGGGATCCCGGGACCGGATAAGCTGGACGCTCCGTCTCTCTTTGTGGAATCCAGTCTAGCAGATGGTAAAAATCACTGTTTGTCTCCTTTTTTTCCTTTTCCAAATTTAAGATTAATGGGAGAAAAGTATTTGTATGGCTAGTGTTAGGTTTACAGACTCTGATATATTTCTTGTTATGAATATTCGTGTTGTCTGATCTTTTTCCTCCGAGAAACAGTCTTTGTTTTTCCTTTGTCTTTGTCTTCCTGTACCATTTTGTCATGAAGAGGGGTACCGTAGGGTAGAACATAAGCTTAGAGCCCCTGTAAGCCTCAGGTTCCATTCCCACCACCCCCTGATTGGTGAGTTTTATGATTCTCATCAGACCACCATGCAAATTGTGCTGCGGGTCTCTGAAATAAAAACTGGATAAGGTTCCCCTTTCATCCTGTTTTATGTCCTTGAGAGCTTGACTTGTGACCAAGTTGGAGCACTTTCTCTTGGTCTCTGCCATCCATCTGAGGGGCATGATTTTCAGGTTACATCTGGTGGCCAGTCTGAAAAGATTGGGAACCCCGAGACACATAATATTTTAAGCAGCGTACTTTTTATTCTGAATGTTCCAAGCTCTCGGGGGAGTGCGTCTTAATAAGTCCACTCCATAAAGAGCTTTTGTTGCCTCAACTCTTGTTACCTGGTTGGTCCTGGGAAAGTCCAATCTCAGGAGGGCCTGCCTGGTGTCACAGATCAAGAGGTCTGTAACTGGCAGCCCCCGAACAAGTTTGTGGGTACCAGAGACACCATATGCACAAACACCATCCTCAACCATCTATGGAAACAAGAGTCTTTTGCTGTCTTAACCTATTTCTGGGAGCAAATTTTTGGGGGGATCATGAAGGCTGCATTTTCTGTGCCCATTTTAAAAACAACACTTACACCCATGGTGCTCTAAAGCTGGAAAGTTACCTCTGGGACTTTCATTGAAACAGGCTTATTGGCTTGAGTGGCTTATAAAATAAATACATTGACTGTATTTAAAAAAAAAAAAAACTTTTTAGAGAACGCTCATCTTAAACAGCTCTTATTGGTATCTATGAAAAGATAGAAAAGAAATATAGCCCAAAAAACTCCCTTGGCAAGATTTTAAAAAGGCAGAAACCAGATTTAAAACAAAGACAAAATCCTTTGTACACTCAACTCGCACTGCCTGTTTGGATTCCCTGTGGGATTTGCAACAAAGGCAGCCCACCCTCCTCCCTGTTGTCTAATGGTCAAGATTCTTACTCTCACCCCCATGGCCCTGGTTTGATCCCCGGTCAGAGAACCAGTTCCTTGAAGATGTAAATCCTGTAACTCAGGTAAAAACAGAAAAGAAAGCTTTATAAGAGTTAGTTTGAATTATCTATTTTGAATTTATATTTGTGTGACTCTTGACTTTTTGGAATACCCATTTGTTAATGAGCTTTCTCCATCTATAGACAGCTATTGTTTCCCTGTCATCTCTAAGTGTCTTTTTTTCTTTTAGCCGTCTTAGAGGGGTGGCCCTGGGTCTTGTAAGGATCACTTTTTGCACCTCTTTGGAGATGCCTTGTGCACCCTTGATTGAGTCATAACAGTCATAACATTTATTATTAAATATAAAATATAAATATTTTATAATATCTTACATTTTTTCCATTCTCTTCCTTTCCTTTTTATATATATTTAGTGTTATCTTGGTTTGCTTTTGAGTCACTTGGTAGGTACCTTTGGTTTAAAAGGAAAGAAAAAAATTTAAGGCAAGAATATTTGCTGTGTGTCCTGGCTGAAATCTAATAATAAGAAATTTAATTTAAAAAAAAAAGAGCTCTATGGTCACAAGTAAGCTTAATTAAAAGCTGATATTCAGACTATATATTTTTAAGCTTCTCTGTTCTCTTTGGATCCTGGCTCTCCCATGGGAACTTTTGTCAGTCAGCTGACACCCCTTTTTAATCATATGTTTGGTCCTTCCATTTGCTTCCTTTCTTTTTGGCATAACTTTGCTGAGAAAAATAAAATAAAATTTCATTGGCCTTTTTGGAAAAGCCTAAAATCTTCCCAAACTGGGCTCCTCTAAGACTTGTTTTTCCATTTGCTTCTACTTGTAATTCCTTTTGCCAGCTTTGATAACACATGAAGGGATCTAGAGGGGGCTTCGGGTGACCCTGAGACCTCTCAGAGACACCAAAAAAAGGTGCCACTGACCCCCTTGTTTTGGGGAGTCCCTGGTCTTCCTCATGAAGCCCCAAGAGTCACAGGAAGGTTCCTCTCAGGTCCAAAGCTCTGCTGTCTTTTGCATTAAGCACCTTGATATCTTTGGCTTTGGGATACATGTGTTTGTTGTGTGTTGTATCTACATGTATGTGTATGTATTTACATGTGTTTGTATATTGTCTACATGGTACTGAATTGACTTATAAGTAAATGAATACTCATAAATTAAATAACTAGCCTAAATGATTTTCAAGTTCACATGACTTTGGTAATCTTTGATAAATAAAGCTAGTTTTAAAATTGTTGGTCAAATAAAATTAAAGCGACTTCAAAATTTAATTGACACCTTTTTGCCTGGGTCTACTCATCAGCCAAATTTATGCTTTCTCTGCTAGATGTTTTATGGTCATAAAACTATTACTTCTATGATACTTTTGATCCTTGTTTGATTTCTTTGTACGCTGAAGCCATGAGGGCTGGCTGCTAGGCTCCCTGATGCCTTGCACACATCTTGCTGTGAGCTTATGTCTGTGATTGTAAGCCTTTGGGTTTTGGGATCTAGACAGGAGGCCATGGTGAGGTCTGGGGACTAAGTGTCCACAGCACGTGGTCCATTTGCTGCAGGGCAGAACTAAGCCCAATGTGGCCCATTCTCCCCACCCGGCTCTGCCTCCTGGCCATGGTGGGAGAGGTTGCTTCTTCCAGACATTGTCTTCATAGCTCCATTCTATGTCCTGGGCTCTACGCTTTATATATAAATCCAGGACCCAGACAGGCCCTACCCTTCATAGCCACCCTGGGTGCCACATGAGTACTTGGGGCCCAGGATGACTAGGGGGAGTCCCCAAGGGGGTGACTTGTGTCCAGTATCATAAAGGCCTTGGTTAAGATGAGACTGGCTGATGCAGAGTTGGCCTGATTTTGCTTTATCAAAAGAAAAAAAAAATGGCTAGCTTTATTTTCCATGAACAATTCAAATAACATTGTTAAGAATGAATAAAATAGGCAAAGGTGAATGGGATAAATGTTTATAAGTGAACTTGTCATAGTTTCAAAAATCTATTCAGTAATTAAAAATTTAAAAGCCATGTTATATGATATATTAGATAATCACAAAATTTGAGTCATTTCTAAGTAAGTTAAAATACTCAAACATTAAGCATAA